CCATCACCATCATCATACATCATTATCAAAATCACCATCAGTATTATATTAATCTCCTTCTCCATCATCCTCGTCGTATTAATCATCAGTATCAGCATCATCATATCATCATATTTATCATCAGCTTTATCATGGTCCAGGGCTCACACACGTCCTCCTTAAAGAGGGTCGGGCTCCAACGAATGCATTAACATAATATTTTTTACCATCATCATTATCCTTATCAGCGTTATCATTATCATCACACCCATCACCATTTTATTCTTAACCATCTCAATCCTCTTTCTACACTTAATCATCATGTAATAATCTCCATCATCCTTATCATCACCGTTTTCATCATTTCCGTAATCTTCAGCATTAGCTTTATCACTATCATCACTATTTTTATTCTCATCGTCATTAGCATCCTCAATATCATCATTACACCCACCACCATCATATTCATCTTCATATTCATCATGATCATCATCATCATTTTAATAATCTTTAGCATTAGCTCTATCACCACCACCATAATCATCATCATTATAAAAATCACCATTACTATTCTATTAATCTCCTTCTGCATTATCCTCGTAGTCTTCATCATCATCATATCATCATATTTATCCTCAGCTTTATCATGTTCCAGGGCTCACACACGTCCTCCTTAAAGAGGGTCGGGCTCCAACGAATGCATTAACATAATATTTTTTATCATCATCATCGTCCTTATAAGCGTTATCATTATCCTCCCACCCATCACCATTTTATTCTAACCATATCCATCCTCTTTATATACCTAATCATCATTTAATAATCTTCAACATTCTTACCATCATCTTTTTTATCATTTCCGTAATCTTCAGCATTAGCTTTATCACCATCATCACTATCTTTACACCCACCAACATCATATTCATCTTCATTTTCATCATGATCACCATCATCATTTTAATCATTTTTAGCATCAGCTTTATCACTACCACCATAATCATCATCATTATCAAAATCAGCATAACTATCAAATTAATCTCCATTTCCATCATCCTCGTCGTCTTCATGATCAGTATCACCATCATCATCTCGTCTTTTTCATCATCAGCTTTATCCCTATTCTCATTATCTTTACCATAATCTGTATTACCATCACCATCATCATCCATGTCATCATCATCTTGTTCGGTTGATTATTCAACTTTATCTTCTTCATTATG